GTGAGGGGATTTGGGGTGAGGGGATTTAGGGCGAGGGGATTTGGGGTGAGGGGATTCGGGGGCGAGGCGAAGGCTCTGGGGGGTGGACGCGCGCCTGGTCTGGCTTTTGTCAGAGGGCTGAAGGCTGGAGAGCGACCCCTGGGACAGCGGTTACAGGCAAGGCCTCACCTCCCACAGCTGTGGAGGCTCCTCACGGAGAGGTAAAACTTCCTTGCCGGTGCCTGACTTTCGTCTCCGGGCTGCAGGCCTCTCATCGTCGGCATGAGGGAGCAAAGGATGCAGGCGTCCACCCAGGTGTAAAAGGCCTCCTGGAGGGTAAACTCGCATGTAACAGACAGCGCTAACCCTGAAATTTAGGAACTGTATTTTGCATTTCCATTCACGTGAAGCTCACTCTGTCCTCTTAAAGGCATCGCTCACACTGTATGGGCTGTAACTGACCCGTGTGCATTGGTTCACAAAACACTGCCCTTTTGCTTCCTCCCAGACACTGTCCTGTAAGTATCAGGTGGTGTAACTGACTTGCAAACATTTACATGCAATCAAATGAAAAGAAACTCTCTGTTTGAAGACCTGTTTCAGTTCTTTTCACCCTGTTCTTCTGTGTCACACACTTTCTTAAGCTGTTTATCAATTATTAGCTTTGTCACCACTAATATTTCAGTTTAAGTCCCGCACTTGCTGTATAGGGACCTTGATATTAACTACTTAAAGGAAGATCAGTGTAATGTATGATAGTAAATAATTAGTTTAACGATAGAAAGTCCAATTCTGAGCCTAAGCCAATGACACTGCCCCCAATTCCAGCTTTCAACAAATATTATCATAGAGTGAACAATCTTTTTATGGCTACTCTCATGTTTTCCAGCACAGGGCTGATGTACACTGTCAGTGCAAAACACAGAATGAGATCTTCAGAGATGAAGTATATTTTAGTTTCTTCTCCACAGACTTGCAACATGAATAAAAAAGATTTTCCCCAAAGAATATTCATGCAACCGGATTTCCATCCTGCGAACTGGAAAAGGCCACCTGTAAGTGAAGAGGGCTTTCCCTCCAGCCTGCATGACTCCCAAGAGTCTGATTCCAAAAGCCTTGTTCGGGAGAGAGAGCATCAGCTACAACTGCAGCAGCGGATCTCTGAAAATGAAGAGCTGGTAGAACTGTACTCTGATGACAGCTTAGAAGAAGATAGCTTGGAGGAGATGAGTTTAAAAGGACAAGAAGAAGCTGAGTATGACACAAATCGACATACAAATGGAATACAACAGAATGATGGTAATGGAAGGTAAGGCATGGGATTTTTAGTAGATGAGTAGAATAGTTCTGATGCTTTGAAACTTCTCAGAATATCCATTACATATTCAAGACCAATTTATATCGCCAAAGTGATACTAAGAACACCTAAGGACTTAGTTGCACACAAAGGTGTACGTTTCATCTCACAATTATGATGCCCATTTCTCCAGCACAGCCTCAACTGTTTGTTGGCTAAAACACCAGTGAAGGAGGGCAAGATGGAAAAGAAAACATCCCTCTCAGGCCTGTAGGCTTCCCACGTATTGCTAATGTGAAAGCATTTAACTACAGTTTCTTCTTGTAAAGGCCTATTAAATGCAGATTCCCTCTTATTGCTGTTTACTTGATCTGGACCTGCAGTCAGTGGAAGGAGTCTGATGCCTGTAATGGGCTGCGGACCAGGCACTACAATATTTAGCAGAACGTGCTGGCTACCATCACAAATGGGCAACCATCAGTGTCAGACCAGTGTCAGCTCTGAGATCATAGGCTGGAGGATTTCTGGAGCTGGGCAGTGAAAAAGGACCAGAGAGAAAATAAGGAGCAGTACCAACACATCCTCTTTTCCTTCCTCACAGGAAGACCTGTGCTGAGCAAACCAGGCCACTTCCTGTAAGAAAACTTACAGGCAAAAATTGGTGAGTTGAATAAATGCAGTTTTGTCCTTATAGCTGTGGAAATCTAAAATTAAAATTTCCAGGGTTACCATCACCTTTAAACATGCTTTAGAAAGTGTTAACTTGGTACATCAAATGAAATTTAATTTGTTGTCATATGCATAAAAGGTTTAACACTGGATAAATTGGGAATAATTCTCAAGTTTACAGGGATTAAATTAAACCTGAAGTAATAATAATGTGCAGTTTCAATTTAATTGTCTACTTAAAATAAAATGGCAAACAAATGAAGGCTAAATGATTAATAGCATGCTTTTATTCACCTCCTCAACAGGCAAAATGGCCAGTTATTGAATATTTTATTGTGAGTGCAAATGATGTTAATTGTACTAGAAACATGCTCTAATTTTTAGTAATTTTTTTGACTGAATACTATGCTGAATGTGAGGCTCTTCATTAAATGGAAATTTGATTTTATTTTGTTTGAACTCAGCCCAGTAAGTGCTCAAATACAGTCCATTAACCAAAGCAAATATCACAGCATATACATATGAAACCCCCTCTCTACATCCATTACTAACCTCGGAATTTGAAGAGGAAGCGCTGCATCTGTTGTCTACGTACAACAGTTTTGTTGACGAGTACAGAGTCCATCTAACCTTTGTATCAAGTTGGGGGGAGGAATAAAAGGTGCACTTTTTGTCTGCAGATGATTAGAGATGAAGGAGCTCTTCACACTCATTTTGTCCCCGTGCGGTGACCTGGCCTGCAGAATACAACTGAGCTGCTGTGCACACATTTCAGCACAATAGAACTCTTTAGCATTGTACTCTGTTATTTGAATCATTGCAATTAGAGCACATATTTCTGTACTCATTTCAAAATGTGGTGACCTATTTCTGTTTACCTGACAACTATGAATAATAATGTTTTCACCAATGCAAATCATCTAATCTCTAGCATCCAGGATACCACGGCACCAATGCTTACCTGAAATGAAAAGCATTGCTAGAGAAACAGATTATTTTATTATTAGGAGCCACTCGAAATATGGGTACGGGCATGTAACTAATCTAGAAAAGATGAAAAAATTCTTTACAGAAATGTTAATATAATTAACTATGCCACAGATTGGTACATTTCTTTTAATAGGGGCTGAAGAGTCAACCGGGTTTCAGTGCCTATAAGTGTCACTTTGAAAGGCTCATCATTTGTCTGTGTCCAAGAAACCAGGACACTGGTTTGGTTTTTTTTCTTCACTGCAGGTCCAGTTAAGAAAAAACAGTGGTAAAAGCTTTTTTTCTCCCACTCTCCTTGCTCCTGCCGTAAATATACAGAAATAATTTTGTGTTTCTTTTTTAAATAGGAAACAACAGTCTGTGGACAAATATTTCGGCCTAAGATACAATCCTAACTGGAGGAACACAGAAGAGGTCACAGAATTTTTTGAGGCAGAAAAATCATGTCAAGTTGCTGGAGGAAGCAGTGTGAACTTCTCACAAGATTCGTTTTACCTCCATCTCAGTGGCCCCCCAGGAGAAAAGAATCACCAGGAGGCAAAGTCACAAGGTTCATCCTCAGACTTTGGTGCAGAATTAATAAGCTTTCATGAACCAAATGCCGTGGTCAGTAATGAACCTTCTAGGCTACATACCAAAAGGAAGGAATCTGCAGATGCCCGTCATTTCAAAGATAGCCCCAATACACAGGGCCGTGCTTTTTCTCGTCAGATTCAAGAAGATCGACCACAAAGAGCAAAAACAGACTTTGTGAAAAAAAATAAACGGACCTTAGGATTACATTCAGAGAAGATAAATTCCTATCTTGAATTACACAGTAAAAAGCAAGAAGTTCTTCAAGAGCAGGTGGGTAACTTTTCCCTGTTTTCCAATTCATATACACTGAGGACTGTCTAGCATTAAAATGGAATAATTCCGTGATCAGGTTTGCAGAGGAGGTGAGTGGATTTACAGTCTATCATGTGACTGATAACTTACAATTTGCAATGAGAATCCTGTTCACCCTCTATGGAATAATTGACAAGTCCTCAGTTACTCACAACCCCAGTGCTGGTCTTGTTACAAGCCTAGTTAAGCTACATATATTGTTGGCCATGAAGTGTGTCTGCATGGTGCTGTCTCACTAGTTTTTAATCTTGGTGCTAAAGAAACGCTGTCTTCCTTCCTTTGGGAATAACCAAGAAATATTTCTCAGATTTGAGTGATCAAATATCCCTTTCCCTCTACTTGCTCTCTCAGTCAGACCAAACCTCATATTTGAAAGCAGCCAGCTGATACTGGTTATGTGCAGTACTTGGATTTGAAGGGCCTATCTTTCTTATGATTGACTGCGAAATGTCAGACAACTTGTATTAAGGATTAAGTGGAAATGTAATTACAGTTCCTAATGAACCATTATACATGAGTTTGTTGCTTTTACTTGCTACTGATTATGCATAATGGGAAGGTGGGAGTCGCTGAATCACTCCACGAGTTGTAGCATGGAAAATTCTTAACTTGCAAAACTACAGAGACTTTGTGCTTCAAGTGACACATTTTCCAAGGCTAATGAACAGTTGACACAACACTAGAGGGCATGTGCTGACTACGTTACAATGACTGTTAGGGTAGACAAGCTTTTTTCTAGCAGAGCTATTAAGAGCACTTGTTTTTTTCAGTTATAATTTGGTTGATGGTAAAAATAATTAGTGTAGATTGATGCTAATTAAAGCTGCGTTGATATGATTATGTTTACTATTTGGGGAATTCTGAAAATGTTTCGCATTTAAGTATTGGAGCCAGGGTCAGGACTTCCTCGTGTAGACACTATTCAAAGATACGCAATAGAAAAGAAAATCTGATATAATCAGGGCTGCGTTCTAAGATTACCTTGCTGAAGTGGCCATGGGGACAGCAGAGCTGTGACATAGCAGGAGCCAGGCAGCACGCGTGTCGAAAGGTGGGTTTCTTTCCTCAAAGAGTTGATACAGCCACAACAGCATCACCACCTCCTGTCAGCCAGTGTTGTTTGTGCTGTGAATAGGTGTAGGAAGAAGCACTTACCTCTTGTTCTTAATCCAGACATCCATTGCTCCGTCTCATTGGAGGGGGGTGAAAGCGGCATCTTCTTGATGAGAGCTGGCCGATGAGCCAGTGCTGGTCACCTCACCTGGAAAACTGTATCAAAAGTGCAAAAGCAGCAAGTATGCAAAGAGGCAAACAAGCCTCTAGTCCTTGCTGAAGCGATCGGGCATGTTCTGAATATTGTTTTTTCCTAAACTGGATTATTTTGAGCTTTGCAGGATGTTGAAGCGGTTTCTACTGATACGATCGCTGTTGGCTGTCAGGTACTGTGGCACTGAAATAGTGTTTGCACTGAAATAAGGACTTTTTAGAAAGCTTTTTTTCAACTAACGTAATATTAGGGAAAATACTTGCAGCCTCATTCTTGCAAGATTTACAGCTGCTATCTCTGTGCCTACAGACAGCAGGCTGTATGTACCAAAACACACCATAAATGTGTGTTGATCTGTATGTTTACTAATTTATACAGCATTTTAGAAAGCATCAAGTTCTTTGCAGTGTTGCCAGATTCTTTAAGAACCCGATGATGAGTTTCTTTGAGAGAGAGAGAGAAAGAGAGAGAAGTAGTGGCCCAATCTAGCTCAGCTGTACTCAATATGAGTTGCTTTCCTACCTACAAGCCCCTTACTTCAAAGCAAGGAACATAATGTACAATTTTTTAATGGCTCTAGACCAAGGCACTCAGACTCTCTGTGCACTGCGCCTTACCTCAGTGTAAACACCTAATCAAGATTGCCTGCGCTTCAACAATAGCAGCCAAATGCAATTCGAGAACCACAAGCCTTTGAAGTCCTCGCTGCAAAGGCCGGTTTTCTAGTCTGGGATAATGACATGCCATGATTGCTGTCTTTGTTGTATCTTTTCAGTAGAGAAGCAATTATGGGCCTCAATTTAACAGAATAGGCATTACACAGCTTATGATGCTCAAAATGCAATTCCATTTGATCATTTTCTCAATTTGATTGGTATTAATAGAATAGTTCACAAAAAATGCTGGCAGAGGTTGTGTCCTGTTCCTCTTTCAAAGAGATAATGTAGAAGTATGCTTTACCTGCCCAGTAAACTATCAATGCAGTGAGTCAGTTGGTTCCACCAAAAACATCGTACTGACTGCAAAGCTGGATCTGTCCACAGTTCAGGAAACCTGCGTGCCAACTTCTAATTTGTGAGTTTTTCTAGTCACAACTGACAGCATCGGCATTGCCATTTGGTGCGATGAGATCACCTGAACACTCAGCCATAAACCCTACCTACCTTTTCCTAGTTGTCCTAATCTCTCACCCCTAGAGATGGGAGGCTCTGCTGCCCAGAAGGATTTAACACTTCCTTCACACTGATTTCAGTGAATAATTTTCAGTTAATAAATCTCTTGGTCACAAATACCCAGTGCAAGTTCTCCTGTGTTAGCCAGCATCACTCTGCAGTGGTGCATAGGTGCTTCTACCACAGGCATGGGTACAGCACACAGTTAGCTATAGTCTTTTTACAGTGAGACTGCCTAACTGCACTCTTAATTGAGGCCACACCTGCTATCGTACTCAGCAGGGGATTTTGAGACAACACAAGTATAATAAAAAAATCTAAAAAAATCATTTTTTCCTGAGGTTTTATAGATTGGGGGGAAAAAAAATGTTTGATGCTTTCAAGAAAAAATTTCATTATTGCTGTATTTCCGAGGGTGTCTCTTGGCTTTGAAATCTGTAGTGCCAGCAGCCACCCTCGAAAAATTGCTCAAGTTGGATTTCCAGCCGTCACGCTACCACGACTGCGGCCACGTGAAGATGTCCTTCCCGTCTGTGGGCTTGCTATTTTGCACAGGCTGTTTGATATCGCTGCCAGGCTGTGCGTATTAGATGTTCTCTCTCTGCAGCTACTTCTTGTGCTTTTCTACCAACATTGCTGTGTTTCACCGTCTTTTTCTGCACGACTCTGTTGCTCAAGACCTTGCTTTGGTGTGTGTCACCTGTCAGTACCTTGGTACACTGGCTGATTGCTTGGACAGTGATGATTGTCAAGTTGCTTTTCTGTTATTAGGTACATCCACCGGCTCTCATATAATGGAGAAGCCCAGACATTGGAGAGTTACAAGTACGTTTCTGTGCTGCACACTTCCTGCAATTTTCTTTTCCTCTCTTCTTCTTAAAAATAGAAGGAATGCGCCCTACCACCACACCACCGCTAATTGGGTTTTTGCTTCCTTTTCTCTTTTTTCTGCGTGTTCTCTTGTAGCCATTCATTTTCTTGTTATCTAACACCTAACTTTAGCATTTTTGCTTTAATAGGAGGAAAATTCTTATTCTTTCCCCGAGACTTTTAAATCCTTTCATTGGGCTTGGCTGGGGCCATAAACATTCCTGGTTTTTAAGAGTCTTGGTTGCAGATCCTAAAACCGTTCATGAGGAACCAGTTCAGAGTGTCCTACCATCCCAGACTGTGAAATTGGAGCCTGAGGACAAATGGTACCTGAAATCACAGCACCTTGAGGTTCCTTTTTGAGAGAACATAATAATTGAAATGTAAACGTAAAAGCGTTGAAGTTTGACTGTTTTAAAATGTAATCTCATTACTTTTAAAGTACCAATTACTGACAATAAATCTTTAGATATATATCAGTAGATAATCATCAAAATTTAATGCATATGCAGCTTTGTATACTGAATTATTTTAAATCAAAATACCTCGGGTAGACGAGGTACTTAGGGATATGGTTTAGGGGGTAGACAGGAACGGTTGGACGTGATGATCTCAGAGGGCTTTTCCAACCGAGCGATTCTGTGATTCTGTGAAAACAGATCCCAAATCCCCAGAAATTCTGCCCTCAAAGACTCTTATCTATTTAGGACATTATCTGGTTGATAATAGTGTAAAAGCACAAACCAATACCTGGTCATGTATGATGGTTCATGAGGATTCTGAGCTGGAACTTGGCTACTGTGATGTTACTTATCCCGTAAAATCCCAATGAACATCAAGAGGTTACTATAAAATGGGAAATGTAGAAAAAGTTGCACTGACCGGCACAGCGGGATAGTCTTTGGAGCAATAAAAGAGACCAGGTCATCATCACTGATGAAAAAGCAAGCACTTCAAAACCAGGACTTCAAGCCAACTGGAATTATTATTAGCAAATGTAGTTACTATCTTTGTATTAAATGTATCTGAAGTGATTCGGGCAGACCGTTTAAATTCCTCGCTGTGCACTTAAGACTGGAAGCTGCACCTCTGTAAAGGACAAACGAAATTTTATGCTGCCCTTCGTTGTGAGAGATGTGCATTATATATGGAATTTCAGAGTGAAGGAGGTATTTTGCAGGTCTGCTCGTTACATTTAAATGGGAAAACGTTGGCCCGGTCCCAGTTTGGCAGCAGTCTGTGCTTTCCACCAGTGGCACAGTGTGCCAGAACATTAATCGTTACAGCAGAGGTCGAGCTAACAAATCATCATCTTGGCACCAGGAGTCAGGATTCCCCAGTGCTAAAGCCTTCGCCAAAACATTCTGCTCTATATGTGGATTTAATACCTACCATTAAGTAGTTACTCTGAGTGCATATGCTATGTAGTGATTGCAAGTGTTGCTAACAAAAGAACCCTAGAGAGACAGGAGGACGAAATGGAGGATTTTAGCACTGACAGAGATTAAATGGACTGAGAATGGATTTGTATATTCCCTAGAAGGAAAGCCCTGTCTTCCCTCAAAATGGGCAACACCTGATGCTGTAATTGGAAAGCGATAAATCTTAAATAAACTCCAGATTTAGAGTATGTCAGTTTAGCTCAAGACAGCAGTCCTGGTGTGCTGCCTAAAATAAGAATGTCGTCCTGAATTAAAATCATAAAACATGGTGTAATGTAGTCAAAACATCGGCTAATTTATAGAATTCTAACAAGTAGCTACATGAAAAGCATGGTGACGGGCAAACTGATTCATACACTTGTATATTGTTGATCTTAAAGACCATATGAAATAGCAACCACTGCAATTCACCCCCCTTTTGGTAATTTGTTTTAGGATTACCGAAACAAGTCGTCCCAGAGAAATAAAATAAAACCCAACCAGAGTGTCCAAAGGAGAGCTTTCTCGAGGAATGATGGCCAACCACCACCAGGAAGAGCAGCAGAACCGAAGTCTTGGCACCACAGGCACCGCCAAATACCAGAGTTTCAGACTGCTCCCATGCAGGCAGTGGAGGAAGACAACAGCAGCGTACTTCAGCATGACAGTATTTCAGATATTTGCTTGAATAACTTCCCAAATTCAAGACATTTTGCTAACCAGGATCCCACACCTACCTATCCTTTGCATCCAACATTACGTAAACTTAACCCAGCAGAGGTTATATCTGCAGTATGTACCAACAAGAGGAACAAGAAATATCAGCGTGGTTCTCCAAATGGACATCGACATGACCAGCAGCATTTATACAACCATGCCACTGGCCAGCTTTTTGCAAGAGATAACCGTTCCAATGGTGCACATCCAAATCAGAGGAATATTTCATCTACTTTTAATGCCAAGTTTCAAGAATTGGTGAAGGATCAAGTATCGCTTCGGCGTTGCAAGAAACACAGTTATGCAGATAAAAGGTATCAGAACTATGCTATCAGTAGTTTATGGTGAGGATATGAGTGTTAAAACAGTATTATCTATCTGGGCTATGATGCCCAGAAAAAAAATAGAAATTAACAAGAAAATATTTAAAATTTCAAAGTATAACATTATTTTGCTGCAAACCTGCCACTATAGGTTACTACTAACTTAAGATTCATTATAAGGATTGATTTGTAAATATGGTATTGGAAAAGGACAGTTCTGCACTCCAGGCTCTCTTGCATGTAGGATTTTCCACAATTGAAAGTTTCCTTCTGAAAAGCTAGAAGGTGAAGCTTAAAAAATAGATAGCAGAGAGCACTGTGCATAAACTACATCTCCTGCTAGCTGCATGGAGTTGTATCAAAGCTTGTCTTGCAGCATGAATCTCCAGTTTCATGCCAGGGCCAGTTCTGGCTTGCTGCAAATGAGGAAGGGCATGAAAGTCCTTAGTTATGCAGAATTTCACCTGCCTTGGTAAAATGAAGGGGTTTTTTTTCACATAGACAACTAATGTTCTCAGTACACAGCAGGCCTGATCCAGAGCCATTTGAAGGCAGTTTTCATTGGCTTATGGTAGCTTTGCATCAGGCTGAAAATTTCCACCCATCTTTCCATACTCATGTTCCCAGTAAGTTCTGTGAGCAAGGATTATTCCATGTACAGATTGCTTGTTGAGTTATCTGCTATATACAAATGCTCTTTTTTCCCCTCTCTTTCTTTTTTGAGGCCTTCTCAATCTTCTGTTCACGGTTCACCCACAGCCCTTTGTACAGCCTCCCAGTTTACACAGCTGATGGAGCAGCATCACCAAGAAATCACTCATTTGGCAGAAAATCACTTAGCTGACAGACACGTGGTCAGCCGACTTCCACCTATCGTCCCACAGACAGAAAGTGGTTCAGAGAGTGATGAAGGACATCAAGTGGAAATAAGGCAAAGCGGCTCAGAAGAATATCTCCTGCAAGTGGAAAAGCAAAAACAGCGTAAGGTCAGAAAGAAGGTAAGCAAGTAGATGTGGATTGGATAGTTTTACATTTCTATCTCCTCCTCTGATTAATATTTTTCTTCTTAATAGTCCAAAGATCTTGATTTAAAAAAAGGAATGGGGACTGAGAAATATTTCATTGTCACAGAGAGCACACTGCCACACACCAGCTTGCCCAGAGCATTAAAAACCAAGGAACAAAGGTGGAAACAGGCACACACAAATCATTTTAGTCTGAAGAGCAAGGCAGTTCACTGCCTCCTCTCCCTGTGTCACTTTCAGTCTTGATTAGCTCTAACAGCACACAGAGCAGTGTTTGTCCTTTAAGTTATCCAGTGATAAAATGATTTAGAATAAAGCTATTTGTATAAAGCAGCAGGTAGCCAGGCCTCAGATCTGAGCCAACCATTATCCTGGTCATGCTCATTTGCTATCCAACTCAAATCTCTTGGTTTCCAAGGAAATCAAACTGAACAACAACAAACTTAGAGGATTTGTAAAGCTAACGGCATAAACTTTATTACAAGTCTCCTGATGATCCCATTTTGGTCCTTATTAAAACTTGGTTCTTTTTGTCTTTCCGTGTGTCCGGTTTCATGCTGTAACCAGTTAATACAGATGCAGTGGAACAGCATAGAGATATCCCCGTGTGTCCATGACGAATTAAATGTTTAAGAAGTTAGCTCCAGGTCTCAGGGCAGACAAACTAAGCTGGAATAATTACTCATGTGTTTCATCTAGGAGGCTGTTTGTGTATTGCTGCTTGAATGCCTCTAAGAAGAATTAGCTGGATTATGATAGTAACTGAAGGGCAGATTTCCTTCCCTTTCTGTCCCCCTGAGTTCAAACCATTGCTTCTGTCCTGTATTTTCAGTGGCTTTCTCACACTTCATATGTGAGGAATGCCACAGAGAACAAGACTGTTTATGTGTCCCAGAGAAATCCAGCTCTTCCTAAGAAACCAATGCAGTCATACTCATGGCATGAAGTGAGAAAACCCTGATTTTGTTGTAGACAGCTAAATAATTAACTCTTTAAAGTACCTTACATTGAAAGTTAGATGTAAGTATATCACAAAAGAGTAGGGATAGCTGACACAAAGAAACTTCACATGGAAAATTCAGTGCATAGAATTCTCTTATAACAGTTTCTTCAGAGTTTCATTCTAGTAACAGTCAAATGGGTGACTTTAAACTGCTTAAAAATAAAGCTCACAAAAGATCATTTTTGACTGACAAAATATTGCTTTGTGATTTGGATGACTGGCAATTACCCACCTAGATTCAAAGGAAATACAGTGTAATTTGACTTGTGCAGTTAATCTTTTTGGTCACTTACAATCCTTGAAATGAGAGATGCCAGAGGTAAGACTGAGACTGCAGGTTGAATGCTGCTCTTACCTTGGGTGTCCGCTACAAGAACTGCTTTAATTATGCTCTCTGTGAAATCATATAAAGGAAAATCTGCCACTGCTCTTTGTTTTTCAGCTGTCTAGCTCCAAAACCTACGCAAATCTGAATGTGAAGCTTGGAGGCCTTGGACCCGACTATGAAACAATCAAAGAGAAAGTAAGCAGTCCCTGTTATGTGATCTGTTCTTCAGTTGTATAAAGTGAACATAGGCAGGGGTGACTGAGTTGCGCTGTCATTCCCACTGTAGAAGGTTTGCCTGACCTTCAACGTGGAAGTGAAAGAAGTTGTTGTGTAAATACAAAAATAAAATAGCTGGATGCGCATTACCCCATGAAATGGGGAAAGATTGTTCAGAACAAGTATCTGAATGATCATCCCTTTGGAATCACTGAGAAGCCTCTGTATTTTCTTCCTCTTTGCCGTAAATGAATCAGATTAGAGATCTGAAATTGGAAGGGACAGAGTGGTGCATAGGCCAGGACTCCATGTTTTTAACACCACCATAACGCTTCTGGAAGCTGCCGTGGCACTGGGGTATCATTGAATTGAAGAGAAATAAGTGGCATTGTCTGATAACAGGGGCAAGGTGGAGCATACTGCTGAATTTGAGTATTATGAATTGCTGGAAATACAGAGAGACAGAATAGCAGTTAAGTAAATGAAACGCGTCATTCAGGGCCTTAAAAGTAAGTACAGAGGTTTTAAAAGTCATTGCAAAAGCCGACAGAAATTAGCACAGCCATTTAAGAACTGAACAGATATACTGAAACATTCAGCATAAAGATGCATCTGTCGCATTTCTGTTGAGCTTTATCCTCAATATGGTGCAAGAAAAAGCCATTTATCAGGATTTCCTGTTGTGTTCTGCTGAATGATGATCAATAGCATGGCCAGGTTAAACACTAACAGAGGTGTAAATGGAAGACTCCAGTGGAAAAAGCATCTCATTGATGGATCCACTGAGACATTAACCAACTATACACTTTTTTCCTTTTGTCAGAAAGAGAAGTTGAAGCAACAAAAGGAGTATGCACGGCAAATTAAGGAACACAATATGAAAAGCATTGCTTTGGTTCAGAGGTTACCTACTAAACCCCAGGTTGCATCTTCGGTGTCAAGACGAAAGGTAAGAACAGAGGGGAGAGATTCTGGACTTTGCACACAAAAATGTATGCCAAGAGCTGCTGGTTTCTTTGCCAACAGCAGTCTTCAGCCCATGCTCTGCCTTGCTCTTCGTGAGAGTGCACCAAGTGGAAATGGAGCAGTACTACCAGCACTCAACTTGGCTTAAACAACTAGTGGTGTTTTCCTGGGGAAAGGGTGGGAATAAAGGAGAGTGGGACCCCTCCAGCACAGCTCACGCTCTGCTTCACATCAGTGGTAGGGGCCACACTACTGCAGAGTGCGCTCTTCTAATGGACCACAGATATCCTCTTGTTAGTCTATTATCCACCTGCCTGTCAGTCTCACTCACAAACTCTTTTCACTTCAGTTGCGTAGCTACAGTAATTGGTCTTATTTTTCAAGCCCATAAACATCACTTTAGCCTTCACTGGCCTTCAAAAATAGCCCAAATGAGCAACAACTGTCTACATGACAGTAGCATACATAAACAGACAAAGGGAGTGCCTTTTCCCTATTGCAGGAAGTAACAAAGCACTGGAAATAATGTATATTTTATCCAATCAGTTCGACAGGAGCTCACCTGCCTGGTGCTGAAAGCATGGGAACAGGTATTTCTCCAAGGTGATGAGTGAGAACTGCATGCTTCAGGGAAAAAGTTTTGGAGTTGCATATAAGTTGTACTACTCAGTTACTTGCATTTATTTCCAATCCTCGCATAAATCACAAAGAGATGAGACTGAATTCTTTGAAAATACTTCAAAAAAGCACATGATAAAACCAAACACTCGGCCAGTGTGGAAAGTACAGTTCTTCAATGCTGTCCTTGTCAGTATAAAGAAATTTCCAGTCTCAAAGGAGCATGCGTGGTTATAGCAGAACTCTAGGAGCTCTGTGAGAGGCAGTGCTTTGTTTTACTCAGTTACCAGGTGAGGGCTGGCACATCTAATACCATCCTCACTGCAGAGGTTTCTTGCAGTCACCACTGAAGCATCCAGTACTGAATGCTGTCAGAAGCAAGATCAGGAATTAGGGGAACTATTAATTTGACTCGACATAGAAACACCTAAGTTTTATTGGCAATATTGGTCAGGTTTTCTCTTAACCAGTTCCCCCAACTTTCATGTTTTTAGGCACTGGAATATGCAAAGAAGATTCCTAAACCAAAGACTTTCACTGCAAGACAATCAAGTGGAGATGCAAAAAAGGAAAGAGTTCTGCCACAGACTTTAAATGGAGACAGTTTACCTCAAATTGCATCCTTGGAAGCTCTGCAAAGTAGACACGAGAAAGAGAAGCAAGTTCTAGCTGCTCTCAGAAGCCTTCATTTCTTAAAAGTATTTTGAAATTATTAGGGATTTCTTCAAGGCAGAAACAGCTGAACTCTTTAATTATGAGCTATGACCATCGCATATTGATTTCCCATTCCGTTCAAATATAAAGTGGCTTAAGTTTAATCATTGTTAAATTTTAGAATCAGTTTAACTGTACCTAAATTTTTTTAATGTAAATGGTTGTATATGTAGCATTTTAAATACAGTCCTCTCTCTTGTTATTTTTCTTTGAAATCAACTGATCTAGCGGTTGCATCTTTCAGACTGCTCAGCTGTTGGCTCGTCATAGCTGGATCCTTTTTAGACATGTCAAACATATGGGCATATCTACAAAACATTAAAAATAAACATCAGTTTCATTTGATGGTCTTAACACCAGCACCGTTTCACTCTTTGAAGAGCAGGGGCTTTGGCAGACTGTCCAGAAATGAAGCCAAAAATAATCCAGCACTGGTGAGAATTAGAACAAAAATGTCCACCACGATACAATGCTCATTATTCAAATGTTACTCTGGTATCTGTTAGTGAGTAATTGTCACATCAAGACCAACATTTTGAAGCTGGGACAAGAAAATTCAGCACAAGTACTGGCTGATCGTGCAGACAATCTGTTATTAGCCAGAAACATTTGGAAAATATATTGAGTAACTAAGGATAATTGAGAGCTACATGTTTGAGATGAGGAAACAGCTTTTAACAGATTAAATCTGTGAAAATAACAACAAGCAGATGGGTTTCTTACGATGGTTCCGTTCCTTTAACTTCGTAAATTATGAATTAAGTCAACATATGAAATGTGATTAGACCACACAGCAAGGGAATTTTGAAGAGAACACACTAAAATCTCTTAGAAAATGGGCTAGTTAAAAGAAAAAAGCAAACCAGACACGAACTTATGATGATGTGTAATTGCTTTATCCAATTTGTCAGGTGCCTTTTTGTAATGGGAGGAGAGAGAGGGCAAAAAAGAAACATTCAAGTCTCCTTGAAGGAGGCTTACAATGGCAAGGTAAGGTGTGAAATAAAAGAGCATCTTTATAATTACCTTTTTAAAAGATAAAAACATGTAAGACAACACATTTCTGGGTTAACATTTCATTGGCTGGGTGTCTCACAGGAAAAATAATTTTCCAGTAGGTGTGCAGTGAAGTTAGGGCATTGGAGCCATGACAAATACTGCTGGAAAAGTCAAATACTTCACATTTTACAGAGTTAGGGGTGAGTTTGGCCTAGATCCCACAGTCCTCAGGATGCCTCAGTCCTCCTGAAAGTGGGTTAGTTGCTGAAATACATCCTGCAGGATCTCTAGTCAGGCTCCCAACCTAATAGGAGAAATGAGGGATGTACTGCATCCTTCCATCGTGGCAAAAGGACACGTTCCTTTCTTTAGAGCCCTCCTGAGAGATGGGAAGCTCTCCACCCTGTTGGTTGCTTCCCACCACCTGTGCAGAATTAGACTGGTCGACTTCACAGGCAGAGGTCTGCCACAGACATAATCTTTGGAGAACGTGGTGGAAGAAGCATCTCCCAGTGTGGGGGATGTGGCTCAGGTTGCAGGGGAAACGTTTTGCATATCAAAGTGCAGCAGTGGACAGACATCCCCTGCAACTGCTGGAACAGGATCATCCTCTGCCTCTGCCTCCTTTCTCCTCGCCTTTGGGCACTGTTTGGCCCCTCTTTGCAGAATACGCCTGCCTGTGGTATGATCCGTCAGGCTGGGCTGGGTAAATATGTCCATGCTCTGCCAGTTGCTGCTTTTCTACTTTTATTTTTAAACCGAGTGGTAATACTTTGAAGCATTTCTGATTAGGGAACCTCAACTTGTTGTTTCTGCTTAAAAGTGATAATCCCCCCTTAATACAAACCTCAAGTGCCTATTTTAATGAAACCTTCAGATGAATATCAAAGAGCTATTTACTCGTATCTAATATTTTAATTAGATTATATTCTCAATTTAACCCATTAAACCCGCTTTGATGATCTCCATGTTTAGTGTTTAGCCCCAGATGCTGGAGGTAATGAATATTGGACCTTTGATTTAATGAGAACTTCTGCCTTTCCAGCCTGACTCCCTTTGTATCCCCCGTTTTTATTTTCTGAGCTATAGAATTCAGTTAATTGAAGAAGTCTCTTACCACCACACATTAAGGAACCTAAATTAGCATCCCTTTTCTGATTAGAAAATGCAAGCAGACATTTTCTCTTTGATCTGAGGATTGAGTTGAAGTAGGCAACAGCCCCCTGAAAATGAGCTGATGGCCTTATTATTTGGCTGACATGCAGATGCGTCCATGTGGTGCAAAATGCTTAATGTCTTAATTGATCACCTTCCTCCCTATCCATCATCCCTCTACCTTTTAGAGCTCCCATAAATGAGGGTCATCTTTCCAGGTAGGTGGTGTGTTTCATTTGTTTGGGGTTTTTTTTAATAGAACAGTGATCTTTTAGGAAACGTTTAATACTAAACCCACACTCAACTAGAAGCCATGTATACTTATATGATGCTCCATCTGCGAGGAGGGGTAGTATTTTTTAAAAACGGTGATCATGATCATCTCACAAAGCATTTGGAAAGGACTGGTTTGGGTTTTCTTTTTTCTCCCAGAAAAAGACATTATTTGCAGCATATGTGCAAAGAAAATCTTTTGATCTACCTCAACACTAATGCAAATTTTTCCATGCACCTAACAGATACGGTGGCACAAAAAGGGACCATCAAGTAAATGATGAGCATCCATCTGCTTAAAAGCAAAGGCCAAAACTTAATGTCTTTCAAATTAGGAAGGCAAGGTATTTAAATAAGAAATGGGCCTTGAGTTTTGCATTAAGCATTCAGTGAGAGATTGAGCTGAAGCAGAACCTACCCGCTGTAGCCCTGCGGCTCCAGCACAGCTATTCACAGAGCGCAGCCTTACTGACCGTGAGCACAGCCTGCCTTCACAGGGCCAGAAATGTATCTGTGTACACCACCCAGCAGAACTTCTCAACATTCACTTTCTAGTGCCACCATTTCTTAATATTTTAGACTCACGAAGTGTAGGAGCTGAGAGCACCTTCAGTGGTCAAAGACCCAGGGTCGGTTCTGGTTAGGAGCAAGGCTGCTGCAGTAACATCACCATCACGTTTCTTTCAAGGTAACCGAGGTCACCTTCCCACATCTCACAAAAGCTCTGAGCAGCTGGCTCATAGGCTGCTGGCTCTGACAAAAACACACTGATTTATCGCCTAAAAACGTTAAATAAGGCAAAACCTAAAAGCCATGTTCCATCGTTACATCTCTAAAGACAAACTGTCAAAGAGGAGGATTGTAAACCAGGTGAGATTGGGTCTTAACTCTTGTGGTCACTGAATAAATACTTCAAGTAGGCATGAACAAGTTTTAACATCCAAACAGCCCAAAAATGCCTTTGTTGTTATTATTTTGCATGTTGCCCAAACCTGAGTACTCTCTGCATGAGAATAAAGGCATGTGAAGAAAGGACCGACACCAACGACTGCCTCTGTGGCGAGAGAATGAGCTCTAGATGCACAAATTCTCAATGCTAGGTAAAGGCAGCAAATCTCCGCTGGTGACAGCTGGCAGGGGTGAGTTAAAGCAGCCTGCCTTACAGCAGAGCCTGCTTTGAACAGAAGTGATACTGAGCCAAAAACCTGGATAGAGCAGATGCTAAAGAGCTTTGCATAATCGGGAGTGCAGAGCGGGCAGCTGCAGGTAACACCACAGGGCGAGTTTTCTGTGTGTCATAGGAGCACTCAAGGGTTTATTCCAGCAGTCACAGCAAAGCCAGCACCGGAGAATATTGAGTCTTTACTTTAGGAAAGCAAGTTGAGTGGTCTCAGCAATAGCTGAACAAAGTGAGTCACAAAATTCGGTCAGCTTGCCTTTGCTCCTGGCCTTTCAGAAACCTGTTTCATAGAGTTACCTCATCATCAGGAGTGAATACCAGCTTCTTCCTTGGAAGACTGTCTGTACCCAAACAGGTAGGAAAGACGCTGCAGTTCACTGTGAGATCACCCGCTCTTCTCTTAAGCACACACTTCACATCCACCTGCCTTTATCACCAAGTGCGATGTATTGGTTCTGCTGCATGAATACTGACTGTGTCAGTAGCTGTAGCCACCCCAAGGCACTTCTAGCAATGGAGTTAGACCTGCTTCATCTAAGCTTATTATGCTACAAAAACAAATCCAAGGCAGAAACAAGCCACTTTTTAAGCCAAGTAAGAACATCCAAGCAGGAGTTTGCAATTAATTCAGATGATGCAAACCAGCAGAGAGAAACTATGAGAAGAAGTTGTAGAAAGAATTTTACATAGCGCACGCAATGCCTGCGTCACTTGCCAGGCCTGGCCATAGGTTATTTGCACCAAGCAGCAGCTCATGATGCTTTCAGGGCTGACACTACACACCTGTACAATAGCAAGACTCTACAAATGATTCGCTCTATAACTGCCTATACAGCCTGCATATCTGACTTGTTTTTGCATAACTCAGGCCATAGGAGGAAAAAACTGCTTTCCAGCCCATAAAAGTTAAAAATGTTAAGGGCAGCGGACAGGAAAATGCTCAAAATTGAAACAGAAAGCCAAGGTTCATGGGAAGATTTCATAGACAATTTTTAAATTTTCTTTAATGAAAGCAACAACAAACATTAACCACTTAGGTGTTAAAATAAACTAACAGGAAACAATTTCATTTCAAAAAAAAAACTTTCTAAAAGAATTATTTTAATGAAAGGAAAGACTTTATTGGATATCTTGAAAAAATAGGAAATCCACCGAGATGTCCTATGTCCAGCAATTATTTCCTGCAAGTCATTTCCACCCCAGCATTTCCCAAACAGGTATGTAAATATTAGGGAGGGGGAAGAGAGCTATAAACAATCTCTCTGCTATTCCTTAACCTTCTTGGGGTGAGCAGCAAAGGGACAGCAGGAAAAAGGCAGCAGTTGCCAGTTGATTTTATTTTATTGATCAACACGAATACTTAGTGAAGAAGAAAGTTCCTGTAGCAGCAGGGGAGAGGCAGCAGAGACTCGAGTGTTATTTGATTCATATTCTGACCCCTCCTCATAGGCGTGGTGTGTCCTAAGTGTGCTATTGCTGGTGCCAAAAAGGGGAACCGACGATCCTGGACATACCCCCAGTGCTTGCATCCGAATCTCAGGATCATTCCCTCCCTCGAGAGCCACCATCAGACTACAAATATTGCCAGCCCATGGGTGTGCAAGTGTCCCAGGCTCTGTTACTGCAGTGGAGATGAGCTCTGACTTTGGGGTGTTTGGTGCATTGGGTACATACCTGGTTACACAGCATCTGATCACACTCAGATCCATCCGCTGGATGTCTTGTAAAAGAGTGATGTAAATGGACAAAAAAGTTGCTTTTGCATGTCTGTCCCAAAAAGCTTCTGTCCCTTGTGCATCTTAATCTTCTACTTTTACTTTTCTCCTGCCTTTTTCCTTTGTGCTCTTTCCAGCTCAGTGTCTTTTTACACACCTCCGTCTTTAGTAATAATGATACAAGAGAAGGAACAATTCTTTGCACAAGTAAAAGGAATCACGCACAAATGTAAAGAAAAGATCCCCTTTCATCCAGGTGCTTTTTTTTTTTTAAATGATTACATCTTTATACTTGCTTCTAATATTCTCTCTCACTGAACTGAAGGGATTTCTCTTGTGTTTCTCTAAATCCCATTACCAAAGGCAAGTCCACCTGAGTGACTGATGTGCAGTCGCTGACCTCCACGGCACATTGCGATTGGCCAGGCCAGCCCCGAGACGGGCATCAGTACCACACTGCGCTGCACAGCTCCCGGCCCCGGGAACAGCGGTGGTAGATGTGGTCAGAAAAAAATTACCATGTAAATATCAGAGCAGAGCTTCTCTTTTGTATCACTTTTAATAGCTCCTAATAAAATATGCACTCAGGAGGAGGCTGACAATCAGAACAGAGCAAAACGAACAAAATACTCTGTGGGCGACTGAGTATGGATGCACACAAATGGCAGCATCGAATTGAAAGGTTTTCGAGACAGTTTCCATCACCTCCCTGCCTACGGCCTGGTAGGTGTAGAGAGAAGGGAAGAGCCACGGAGCTGGGAAAAGCGTTTCCAGCCAGCGACCTGGCAATGTGCAATGACCTGCTGTACCCTGCGCTTGGCTCTCTGCGGTGCTTCCAATCGCACCGAGGATTTAGGAGGACATGAGTCAGGTTTACCTTCTGGTTTGTAATTTTTAGAGAGTGGAAGGCATTGTAGCAAAATTTGTTGACGAAAATGATAGTCCTGGAAGTATTATAAACATCATGTAAAAGACAACTAGCCATTTTCTGGGCAGATGGCTGAGTATTGGCTATTTTTCCTCCTTTATTATTTTATGTGGAAAAAGCATAAAGGGAAACCCACGAAAAGGAAACAAACATACACATTTCAACCACCTATATTTTATATATTCAACAGGGACACATTTTCCCTCACAGAACCTCATATCCCATAATCCAAAATGCCCTAAAAGTGCTGATGACACCGGACAACCAAATTAACTTCCTGTTTAAAAAAAAATAATAATAATTTTGAAAGAAGGAAAAATAAATTTCAATAACCTAACGAGACACCGACATGCCACCGGGTTGCTGATGCAGCAGGGGCTACACAGACAACATCTGAGCGAGCACAGCCTCTCCTCCAGGTTTTTACCCAGGAAAGCCCCAGCCCTCCCTTGGAGATGCGGAGCCTCCACCACACTCCCAGCGCATTTATCAGCCAGCAGCTCACCCCAGAGAAAAGAAAAAATCAAAAAAGAAATTTACCTGGAAATTAAAACCATTTCCCTGGCAGGAAGATAAAGGCAAAGCGACCGCAGGCGGTGGCTGCTCTCTCTGGCTGCAATACAGAGCTCAGAGAGGTGCTGGGGCAGATGCAGGTGAGGGGAAACAGGAGTGGAACCAGCTCGGGGGCTCTTTGAGAGGAAAATAAAAGTATCTGGAAGGTGATTCACACCGGAAGCCGCGGAGGAATCACGCTGCCGATGCAGGTGGTTTTCCAAGCTGTAGAAAATCTCCTTTGCTAGCTGGGATCGCGTTTGCTGCTGGCAGCCCGGGCAGGGTCGAGTTGTTGGTGATGCTTCCCCGTTCCCTTCCCCATACCGCTATTAAATAAACGGTAATTTTTGCCTTACCTGTTTCTTTGGAGGCTATTTCTACAATTCTTTCTTTTTTTTTTTTTGAGTACGTGTGTATCCTGGGAGCTCTGCCCGGGATCAAACTCAACCCACCGCACTACGGAGGGAGATGGCGAGCACTAGCCCAGCTCGCCGGAGCATGGGAAGGTTGGGGGCTCTCAGTAACGACAACATGCTGGCACAGGGACACATTTATTTTAAACTCGAGGAAACTTCAGGGAACGGAGAAAAGTCCGATATTTCGAAGGGAAGGGGAAACTTAAAGGAAACTCGCCTTTTTTGTTGTTTTTCCTGTCCCCCATCAGGCAAAGCTCAGGTGATGCCGGAGGGAAGCCAGCGGTGCCGCGGGGCCCCCGACCCCCTCAGAGGCATCGCTGCCTTCACCCGCCGGGGAGGGGGCTCCCTCCGCATCAACACCTTCCCAAAACGTGACCCGCCCCCCTTCCCTCTGGGCTCCGGCATTACTCAAGGCTGGGGAGTAGGGGCGACTTGCGGGACCGGCGCTGGGGCAAAGCCACCCTCGGAGAGGCA